TCCAAGCCACAACCAGTCTAGGCTCCTCCCAAGGGCTAGGTAGCGCCCATGCCAATCTCAGCTACTCTGCAGACACCCCCACGCCCTCCTCCGCTTCCTCCCCAAACCCCACCTCTGAACAGTCCCAGATGCTTTCCAGAAAATCTGAATCCTGCACAGAAACGCCAGCTTCTGCCCAGGGCTCAGCTCTTCCCCAGAACCCAGCCACGCCCCACCTTCTTCCACCCGCCCCCCTCTGCCTGATGCTACGGGTCACGTCGATTTCACACCTCACACCTCAGCCTTCTTCGAGACAGTGGCGATTTCCCTAAACGCCAGTTCCTCTGTGGACTCCAGCTTCTCCTTCATGGGATCTAATCACGCCCAAGGTGCTAACCACTTCTCCAGTCCTGGCCATTCCCTCAGCTTCTCTGACGCCAGCTACTCTGGCTCCTCCACGCACCCAGCTGCTCCAGAAGCCACCGTTCTTTCCACCTACTTCCAGATCCCAGCCAATCCCCAAGTCCCAGCTGTTCCACAGAGCCCAGGCTCCTGACCAGCCACCCCCCAGGGCCGAGCCTCTTTCCTCAGCTCTGTGAGCCCCGGCTCCCCCCAGTAACCCCCTCCCCAAACTCTCCCATTCCCCCAGCTCCGTGACACCTCATCAGGACCAACCCCTCCCTCTTCCTGCCCCCGCTCCTTACCCAGCACCGTGTAGGACTCAGCTGTGAAGCGATCCCGTCCCCCACGACCTGAGGGCATCCTCTTGGGAGATGGGGTACCTCTGTGGGTAGCAGGGAGAGGAGGGCTTAGGCCAGCCCTCACCTCCCCCGTAGGAGGTAGACCTTGGTCTAGCCGGCCACTGTGGACTGTTGTCAGTCCTTGACCATTTTCGGCTCTTTTCACGAACCGGGCCCCCCACGTCACAACGTGCCTATGCCCTTCCTCATCTAGAAAACTCCTGTCCAGTCATCGAAATCCAGCTCAGAGTCCCCCCTCCCTTGATTCACGATTTGACGCCCCAGCTCCACGTCTCTCCCTCCACCTCAGCCTGGACCCCACCGGGCTGCGTGTCCGTGTCCATCGCGATCTCCCCCACTGAGACTCGCGGGGAGCGGGCAGCCTACCTGGCTGGGGAGTTGACGGGAGACGCGGTTCGCCCCTTGCCATCTTTCTCACGAGCCTTGATGTCCTGCACCTTCCCGCCCATGGCGTCCCACTCCACGGAGAGGTCGTCCACCCGCAGGTTCTGGTGGGATGTGGACGCATCCAGGCGGAACATGAACGCTGGGGCCGGGTAGACGTGGGAGTCACAGAGATGGGGAAACCCCAAGAGACACAGAGAGAGAGAGACAGAGACAGACAGTGACCAAGACAGACCATGACAGGCAGAAAACAGAAAGAGACAAAGAAACAGAGACCAAGACCAAAAGAGGCCAACAGACAAAGGCTCAGAGACAGACAGACAGACAGACAGGCAGAAAGACACCAAAAGAGACGAGATGGGGAAGAATGGAGGGGGCGGACCACACAGCCAGAGGAGTGAAGGCCAAGGGCTTGTTGCCTAAAGGTCTCCCAGGCCCGCAGCCACCTTCTAACTACTTGGGCTGCCCCGTGCTTCCCCTGGGGATTAATCCCAGGAAAGGGGCTGGGCTATACCATGACAGAAGTCAGCTAGACTGCAAAAGGACTTCCTATCAGGGCATGCAAAGGTGTCACTGTGGGAGGCTAAGAAATCTGTCTCCGATAGTGAAATACCCTGTCCAACTTCTGTTTTTTGAAAGAGAGTGTGTGTCAAAAAATCATTGCGGTATAATGGGACCAACTGCAAAAGCACAGGACAAAAGCACGTGTACACCAGACATGCAGGCTGAGGAATCCTACTGTGGACGGAGCTCTGAGTTTTCATTTCACACCAGTCCCTGGGGCCCCAGGAATGAAGGGTTATAGAGTCACAGCCAGGATAGGGATAGGAGCCAGTCACCTGGTGTCTCCAGAGTCACTGGCTCAGAGAACTCGCCTGCAACTGCCTTATTACAGGCCTTCACACGGAAATTCATGTATTTCATGTCAAACTTGAGACCTAGGAGGCAACACAGGGATCTCAACACTGTGTACCCTTTGAGCAACAGGTTAGAGGCCCTACGTCCCACAGTAATCCCACCGCTCCTCATTCTAAGGAGCACCTTGCAAACATCCCTGAGAAACCATTCTTGACCACGTTCACCTGTGGGGCTACGGACTACTTAGCTCCACCCCCCGAACCTAGAGCAGCCAATCAGGATGCTGTATGACCTAAACATAGTGATTAGTTCAGGGATAAGCATAGGACACAAAATGGCCAATCAGAATCTACCCTGGGACTTAGGTACTGTAGGGAGCAGAGTCGTTGTTTTCTTGGGGGCTGGCCAGCTAGGAGGAAGAGCCTCCTGGGAAAATTTGCCAGCTCATTTGGCTAGCCTCCTTGAAGGCAGCCTCCAGAGCCAAGAAGTGCAGGGAACAGAGGTGACCGAGTCACTTGCTAGAACCCCTGGATCCCCATGCCTGG